GGGAGAAACGGGGTATAAGTGGGATAAAGGATCACCTAAGTCCTGAAGATGCAGCTTGTATTTTGATTTACTGATGGGGCAGCCAGACCAGAAAATCTCGAGTGGCCCAGGTAAAATTACTCCCAGAGACCCTTCAGAGGCCCCATAGAAGCCCTGTCACCACTTGATTGAGTTTCTGTGGTCAAAAGACCCAAACGTGATGCTTAATGGTGACCCAGCCAGAAACTCTGCAGAGCTTATCCATTTTCTAGCTCCAGGTCAGCTTTTTAAGAGGCTGTCTTCTAGAAGTTGCTGGCAGAGAGCAATTCATTTTGAAACCTGGTTGCACGCCAGATTCTGATTCTGCGTTGTCTTTTCACAACAGCCCTGCTGTGTTTACGACTTGGTGAGATGAGGTTTTTTTTTTCTTTCCTTCAAAAAAAGGTATCGCCTCCTTCTGTTAGATGTGTTGTTGACAACAGTTGCTAGGGAGAGCGGGGTTCAGTTACAGACACACTGATGCCGGCTCTAATAATACTTTGCTCTGCATAGCTCAGATGCAGACACCTCTTGGCTAAACAGGGCACACACATTTCAACAGAGGAGGGCTTGAACTGATACTGCCCAAGCATATCTCAGCAAAGGAGCACTCTCTGAGCCTGAGCGGAAGGTCCAGGGTGGTGACGGGGCAGTGCTGGGCGGCGGGGGCTCAGGCCTCCAATTCCTGTCATTCCAAAGGTCCCATAAAAAGAGGCTTGCTCATTCTTCACCTCGCAGTGACACCAGAGCCTCCCCCCGCCCCCGCCCCCTCATGGTACCACGCTTCCTTGGGGAAGATCGGGGCGGAGTCCTGGTGACTTCCGTAGCCCAGGGGTTGTGGGCCGCCCACGTTCTCCTAGAAGTCAGAATCCATAAGCACACATCTTCTCCTGGGTGTGGGACCCTGCGATCAAGCCGCGTGGGAGCCGGGTGGGGAGGGGTGGGGCAAGGGACACGAATCACCTCCTGAGCTCTACTGATGGCCGAGCCTGGCAACCCCCGGGGGGTTGAAGAGGGAGGCCCTTTTCCTAAAACGCGTGACAGGTGCTTTGACAAACGTCTGAGGCCAAGAAAAAGGAAAAGGAGATGGGGGACGGAGCTGAGAGCAGAGAAAAAAGGGGGCCCGAGGGACAGCAGAGGCCGCCCCCACCTGGCTGACCCGTGAGGGTGGAGGTTTCCCAGGAGGACCCTCAGAACAGCGAGGTGAGGGAGAGAGGTCTCCTGCGACGGTCCAAGCCAGCCTCCTCGCTGCACAGAGGGGCACCCTGAGGCTGGGCGAGGGGAAGGGATGCGCTTGCTTGCCAGCGTCTCCTGCTTTTTCAAGCTCTCTCACCAGCTCAGGCTCTGACTCCTTCTCATCACTCAGCAAAGAGCCCAGGACCTAGGGCCCATTTCTTGGCTGATTCATGGGGTGATGGGCAGGACCAACCGGTTCATAAGGGACAACAGTGGCACAGACAGAGCGTCTCTGGAGTTATCTTCCTAACAGGGGCACTCCATCAGTGCAGAATCAGCTGGGAAATTCTTTAAGAAAGGACGCCCAGGCCCATCCCTGTGGAGACTAATTCAGTCGGTCCGGGGGAGAATGCCCACGTAGGTATGTTTTAAAAACATCTCCCCCTGAGATGTTGAAGGGGAGGTAGGCTGAGAGACAGGGCCCCGAAGAAAACCGGGTGGCTGGAACTCCATATTCCCAGACTGGGTCCCCACTTGTGACATCACACCATTAAAAGACCATGCCTCAGTCGGCCTGCCTGTGAACTTGACCCATCACTACAAGCCGTCAGTCATCCAACGTCTTAATACTCAAAGTATGGTCCCTGGGCCAGCAGCAGCACCGCCATCACCCTGGGGGCTTGTTAGAAATGTAGCCTCTCAGGTTCTACCCAGATTTCCTGAATCAGAACCTCTATTTATAGACTCTCAAGTGATTCAAACACAAATGCAAGTTTGAGAAGCACTGACATGCATGCCTGGCACATAACAGACATTTGAGAAATGCCTGTTTAATAAGCAGAATTTTATTTACCAGAACACTACTTAGAAAACAATCACACCTAAAGCAAGAAGACAGTTTAGATGTAAAAACTGAAGATGATTTCTGAGCCATGGGGCTGGTAACAGGGGTCCCCTGGGACCCCAAGATCTCTGGCACTGTCAGGGCTCATGAGGGCGGAACTTTCGGGTTCCTTGAGATGACAAAGCTGAGTTTGGCTGCAAGGGGTGAAAGGTCCTTTGACCCTTCCCTGGGTTCGCTCTCACTTCCCTCTCCATAGGGGCTGCGTCCCAGCTTGGCAGGCAGCCCACGCTCTGCGCCAGCGTCCCCAACATCAGAGCCTGCCCGTCTCCTCTGGGGCTGCCAGCTCCTGCTGCCGAAGCCCAGACAGTGGAAGTACTTGGCCAAGGAGGGCAAAACATCCAAAGACAGCTGCTGGGAGCTGTGTTCACGGGGCGCCTCACAGCCTGTCCACTTTGTAGCCAGCATCATGCAGCCAGCATCACTAAGCCAGATCTCAGAACCTGTACACACAGGCAGCGGTGAAACCTCACCATGTGAAGGGCATCTCAGGGGTGGCTGAACTGAACTGGGGGCTGGCTGGGGATCCAGAGGCAGTGGACCCTCAGTGCCTGGAGCGGAGTGTGAACCTCAGAGGGAGAAAGGCTGGGGGCGGAAGGCATGGGGGGAAGGTGCTGGGGCCCAGGGAAGGGACACAAATCAGGTTTGCCAGAAAATGAAAGCAGGTGAAAAGAGACACCCCGGTGGGTCATGAGAAAAGTGGGGTTTGATGAGTTACGCCCCTGCTCTCTTTTCTTGAGCCTTGTGGGTCTGGAGTGGTGAATGGCCATGAATGATGCTGCCTGGAAAGCCTACTCCAACCTAGCAGTTTCTCAGCAGCAGAGGAGCAGGGCCCGCGAGGCCCCGTCAGACACGCGGGGCTGGCTTCCTCCCTCATAACGGGGGGTGTGCCAGGAGTCAGGGCACCCAGCCCGCCTTCCGTGGGGGCCAAGGGGCCTTGAACAATGACGCAGGAGGCCTGAGGGTTCAGCCTAGCCCTCAGGTTACACACTTCAAGGAGCTCCCTCTTACACTTAAGCTGAGGCTGCAAGGGATGAAGGGGACAGCGGGGGCCAAGGGGACATTATGATCCTGCTGGCCTAAGCCAATCCATTTCTGCGGGGACGGAGAGGTGGGGTGTAGGGGGCCAAAGGGCTCTGTTTGAGGCTGAGCACGTCCTGGGGCTGATGCTCTGACGGACATTGTGAGCAAGGCCACTCTAACCACAGATCACTGGAAGAGAAGCCTGACCCGGGCAGGATCTCAGGTGACCCCTGCGGCCAGCTGCCCTTCCCGGCTGGACGCCTCTCATCCCGCGCGGTGCGTGTGTGTGTGTGTCCACCACGGGCGCCGGCTGGTTACGCTGAGCTGGCAACCACCATCAGAAGTCTTGCCCTATCCTGGCCCTTCTCTTCACAGAAGCCAAGGCCAAAGGTCGATCTGTCCCTGACCCCCGCCCCTGCCCCCGCCCAGGCCTGGCCATACGTGGCAGACAGGCTGCTCCCTGCCATCACCCTCCACACTCTCCCAGGACATTCCGGCCCACGAGGAACATGCCCGACGTGCAAATCCCTCAGGTAATGCGGGAATTCGTCACCGGGGAGCGTGGGCGATCCAGGAACGGGAACCTGATCGGGGCTGCGAGCTGGACAGAAGCAGCCCGGGCTGGCCAGCACGGCTCAGGTTGCAGTGAGCAGTTGCCCTGGGAAGACGGGAGGGCGGCGGGATGGAGCCCACGGGCAGCCTTGGGAGGGGGCTCCTCCCTCCCCGTTCCTGGGGAAGGGATGGCAGAGACTGCGAAATCAGGTGGCTAAGACCAGGCTGACCACATGTCCTGGTCAACACCGGGGGTCTAGGACCGATGATGAACAGAGCCCCTGACTCTCAGAAATGTCACGGTCCAGATCATCTATTACACGGGCACCATCCTTAAGAAAGACCTGCAGGTGGTTTCTTCTGGCTCTCTAATCCTACTTCCGGAACTTTCAAGATCCTCTTTTACCCTACCTGGGCTGAAACTCAATGCATATCTCTAAGGTACAGAGGAGGAGCAGAGATGACTTTTCCCCCAGCCGAGAGTCTCCAAGGATAGTCCCAGGCTTGGTATGGGCACCATCCTGGGCCACCTGCTACCTCTCCACGATGCCACCAGTGCTGGGACCGGTTCGCTTGTGACCATGGTAAAGAGAGATAGCCTTCAGCTCCCCACCTAGGAGATCACACAGCCCTCTGCCCAGTTTAAGGGCCCATGCCCATGCCCATTACACACCCCAGTAAAACCATCACTGGATGTCGGCACCCACAGAGGAAGGAAGGGGAGGGGAAGGATTAAGCTCTCTGGGTAGGGGGGCTTGGAGTGGGGAGGCACCAAGAATCAAGACGTTCTCTGACCTCTCTCTGCCCCAGAAGAGGTTTCAAGGAGCCCAGTGCGTCAGCAGACAGACCACAGCTTTGCGACTCAAAGCCCTTTTGCTATATGCCTTTTGCCGAGACCTGCCTCAGCACCACCTACAAGCAGTGCATCACCTGCAGAGCCTGGGGGTTGTCCTGGGAGGGGGAGGAGGAGGAGGAAAAGAAAAGTCCACGGCACATGTGTGTGCGCTGGGACGCGGAGAGGCCAAAGCACAAGAGCTGGTCTAAGACAAGAGGCAGCCCTCTTATCATGGAAATAGAAAGGGGGAGGCTGGCTACACCCGAAGCACCTATAAAATTATATTGGTCCATCGTAACCATGGAGCCCTCACACACACACACGCAAATCTGGCCACTCATCCCTTGCCCCTTGAGTGCCTTTTTATTTTCTATAATTAATCGGGCAAGGGTGGAACTCGGGAGCAGTCCGACCGTGGTCAGAATCCTCAGCCCTCTCTCTAGAGACGGCCCACCGGCGGGCGGGGCGGGAGGCGCAGCTGTCGGCGTCCATTACCTGAAGCATGTTGAGCAGCAGGCTGCGGAACTTGGTCCCCTCCACCATGAAGAGTGCCATCTTGTCGCAGAGCTTGGCGGCTGTGAAGGCGAAGCTGCGGTCGGACACAGCCTTCTGGTAGATGGTGCGCACGATCTCTCCCAGCATCTCCTCCGAGTTGGTGGAGTTCTGGGCCTCTTCCATGAAGGTGGTGAGCTTGGCGTCCACGTCACTGCTGTTGTTCCGCATGCTGTTCAGAATCTCGATCAACTTGTCCATCTTGTTCTGCTGAGGGCTGGTGGCCTCCACGGCCACTTCATCCTGGTGGGGGGGATGGGGAGGTGTAGGGGACAAATCGAGTGGTGCCGGAGTGGGGCCCGGGTTTTCGCCGAGGGTTTCCAGGTTTCCGTGTAGGGAGGCCTGTCACCCTCAGAAAGGACCCTTGACACTTCTAGAACCGGCAGTCTGATCCCCTTGGGACCCGACCTCCACCAAGGACCCTCAGGCCCCAAGCTCCCTGTTACCTTTTTGCTCGGCCCCTGTGACACCCTGAGTGCATCCTTTTTTTGTGAGCTATAGCTCTTAAACCAGGTTTCTCATACACATTGGTTTGGTTTGTTGGATCTACCTGTCCGTCAGATGTCTAAACGTAGAAATGATTTAATGGGGCTTATTAAAGAAGAAATAAACTAACAGATTAGAAATTGGGCCAAGAGAAAACATGGGTAGGAAGACTAAGGTCAGGAAGGAGGTGGTATCCCAAATGCTTTCTGTGTTGGTTAAAGGTGCCCACAGAGTGGCTACACCTTGTCCTTCAGACTCTCGGCTCTGGACTTATGATGGACTTCAGCCTGAGGCCTGTCATGCTCTCTGGGTATAGTGAGCCCTGTGACATGGCCTTGGCATCGTGTGCTGGCTTTTTACAACAAGTACCACACAGTAAGGAATCCTCCAAAGTGCCACAGAAACAACTGGCACTTCTCAGGGGGAAATTTCAGATGAAAAAACCCTACACCCATTAGAGGTTTCACTACAACTGGGACCAGACCTGCGCTGCAGGAGGAAGAAAATGGATCTGACAGTCTGAGAAGTACATACTCAAACACAGGAGACTGGTGGAGTGGGATGGACTTAACTGCTGGGATGTGAAACCAGGATTGAAGGGCAGGGTCAGGGACACAGAGGGGGGCCCATGTTTGCCATTCTGTCATCATCAGAAGAACCCTGCGCAGGAGGCTCAGACCGGGGTTCTCAAACCTAGTCTCTGTCTCTAGTTGGATGGCTCTGGGAAGTGGCTTCACTCCCTGGGCTTCAGCTTCCTCCCAGATACATGAGGAGGTCAGATCAGATCATCTATATAGCTTTCTTTGAGTCCTGCCATTGCCTGAGTCCACGTCCTCCTGGTCCAGGAGTTCAGGAGGCTGGACCTGAGTGTAGTCTTTACAGCTGAAATACGGGTGTCACAGATGTACCTTATCTGTTCTATCTCTCCCTTCCTGCCCCATCCTAACCACAGACAGGAATTAGTGGTTAGTGTGTAGAATAATCACCCACATGGGTCTTCTCACAGGTCATGACGTTTGACCTTCAGTCTGTCTACAAGGCAGTATTACACCACCTTGTGAATACCCATTTTACAGATGGGTAAACTGGGGGCACAGAGAGGTGAGGTGGTTTGCCCAGGGCCACCTAGCCAATCAAAGGCAGAGTGAGGACCCAGCTGGTTTGCTGGACTCTAAAGCCCGTGTTGTTTTGCTCTGTGGCCCCACGGTTGCATTTAGCAGAACTGAAGAGAACTTAGCAATTCTCTCTCTGGCTGAACTGAAGCAATCTGTCCAGGAAACTCTTCGGGCAAAAACCACACACGGCGTACACTTGAGAACCTCTCCAGGCTCCCACCTCTGGGAAGTAAGGAAATGAAGGATGCTTTTCTCTAGGACCTCACAGAGCCTGCCCCTTGGGGAGTGTGGGTGGGAGTGTGCCCCATGCGGAATGTACAGAGGGGATGTAAGAGATGCCAGGCGCAGCATGTCAGCTTCCGGAATTGAGTGGGGAAGAGGTCTGACCTGCCTTGTCCCAACTGAGTGTGGACCTGGCCCTCGGAGGTGAAAGTTGGAGGCGAGAAGGCAGTAGACAGAGGCTGGGTAGAAGCCGGGAACTTCAAGCTCTGCAGAAGCCCCACAAGGAGGACTCCATGTAGCCTCCCCAAGCCTGGGAAAGCTGGGGACAAGCTGGCCTTTCCTGGGAACACTTCCTCTCCAAGGTGACCTTACCTGTGACCACACCTGTGGCTGGGGATGGGGAGTTAGGGTGAGCAGAGTGGACCTAACGTTGCCAGGGACAGAGCCCCAGCTCTCCTCTGGAGGCTCAGGGCATCCTTTTCCTGAATGTGTGAACCAGGCTCTGGAGGCCAGGGCCAGGAATAGGGTGAAGAATGACACACGCATTCCAAATTTAAGGAGGCTCTCCTTCTCAGGGCCATGCCCGTGCAGGATGGCCACCTGAGCGATGCTGACAGTGAGTGCCTCCTTAAATCTTGCCCCCTCCCATCCCCGGGCCCCTCCCTGCTGCTGGTTGGTGAGGGAGGGGAGTGGCAAGGCTGAAGCCAGCCTGCTGTACTCTGTCCCACTCACCTTTGCTCTCCTCTGGCAGGGAGCACAGCCTGGCTGGTACTCACCTTGGGGAGAAGCATTCTTATCTCATAGGCTCTGTGTTTTCCCCAGATGCCCTTTAGCACTAACAGGGTGGCATCTGCCTCCAGATAATGCTGTGGCGGGGGGCGGGAGGGGGGGACGACACACATCAGGCCTTGTATGCCGCCCTCCCATCACCTGGAGGTACATGCCTCTTCCCCCACCCTTCCTTCTCAGGCTTGGGGCTGGTACCAAGTGTCCAGCCTGGCCTCTTGCAGGGTGGAACGTGCTGGAGGGAGTTCACATGCAGAGCTGGTCTGCCTTCTGTGGACCAGGGGTCTCTCGGGCAGCAGAGAGCAGGCGCTGGTCTCTGCCTGCACACGAGCCTGCCTCCACATGGCTCCCCAGGCCCTTCCACCCAGGTGCCTACCTCGTGCTGTCTTCCCTGGTGCAAGAGAACAAGGAAAATTCAATTACCGGTACCTTTTCTTTCAGCCTTCGCCGCAGCCTGTCTTTGGAAGACTGGAGCAGGGTAATTTTGGGGCGCTCCCCGCCGCGCTCGGGAATAATACTGTCTTTAAGCTTTGTCTCGGCCTCTGGACACCCCGGCTGCAGCAGGGTGAGCCTCTCGGAAGCCGCCAGGGCCAGGGCATCAGGGCTGCGGGGGGACTCGAGGCCGCCGTGCCCAGCGTCCCCCAGGGCGTCCTCGAGTCTGGGGCTCTCCGTGGGCACGGTCTCTTTGGCGTTGCGGTGGGCGCCTGCCTTCCCCTTGTCGCCGGAAGGATGCTCCATGTTGCTGTGGTGCCAGCGCCGGTTCTGGCTATAGCCGTGGTGGCTGGACCTCCCTGAGGGGTGGGGCGCCGAGCCCCCCTGGTAGGATTTCTGGTGGTCCCTGTTGTGTTTGGCACTGCCCGGCGGGTGGTCACCGTGCTGCTGGGGCTTGTTCCCTCCTGGGGGTCTCTGCTGCCGCCTGCCAACCAAAGGGGAAAGACAAGAGAGGGTCACTGGGGCCGCTGGCCAGGGTCCCTGTGTCCAAATACCTGAGTATTTGTAATTCATTTCTTCATTCCTCAGTACTCTCACTGAAGGCCTCCTATGCACCAGGCTCTGCAATGGGGCCTGGGGTTACAGCAGCGAATATGACAGACAGGTCCCTACGATTTCTCAGGATTTAAGTCAACTCTTGACTTAAAATAAGTGTTTTAACAAGTATATTATCAAGGGTGAAACAGATCACCAGCCCAGGTTGGATGCATGAGACAAGTGCTCAGGGCTGGTGCACTGGGAAGACCCAGAGGGATCGGGTGGAGAGGGAGGTGGGAGGGGGGATCTGGATGGGGAACATATGTAAATCCATGGCTGATTCATGTCAATGTATGGCAAAAACCACTACAATATTGTAAAGTAATTAGCCTCCAACTAATAAAAATAAATGAAAAAAAATAAGTGTTTTATTCCCTTATTAGAATATGCATTAATACATGTGTAGGAAACAAAATTAAAGTGATACAATTAGAGTATACAGTGAACCTTCCTGACTGTTTCCAGACCCCTAGTATGTTTCTTGAAGCAACAGTTCCCATTTTGTGAATATATTCTATGCATGTTCCAGGAAAGATGTGTGCACAGAACTGCGTCAGATAGTGCAACTGAAAGTCATTCAGTTGTGTCCGACTCTTACAGTCTGACTATACAGTCCATGGAATTCTCCAGGCCAGAATACTGGAGTGAGTAGCCTTTCCCTTCTCCAGGGGATCTTTCCCACCCAGGGATCAAACCCAGGTCTCCCGCATTGGAGGCGGATTCTTTACCAACTGAACCACAAGGGAAGCCCAACTGAGCCACAAGGGAAGCATCAGATAACGTTATAAGCATTGTATTAATGACGTTTTAACCATCATGGCCCGGGAACAGTTATACCTTTTGTTAAACAACCTTTCTTTAGGTTCACTGACATTTTCACCCCCAAGCCACGAACAAAATATGCTATAAGGAGACTTCCCTGATTGTCTAGTGGTTAAGAATCTGCCTGCCAATGCAAGGAACACAGGTTCAATCCCTGGTCCAGGAAGATCCCACATGTAGCGGAGCAACTAAGCCTGTACACCACAGTCGTGAGCCTGTGAGATGAAACTACTGAAGCCGGAATGCCCTAGTGAGCTCTGCAGCAAGGGAAGCCACCGCCACGAGAACCCTGGGCAACTAGAGAGCAGCCATCCCCCCGCACCCCAACCACCACAACGAGAGGAAGTCTGTGCAGCAACAAAGACCCAAATGAAGCCAAACATAAATAAATAAATAATTTTTAAAAATGCTGTAAGAAATTATTACAGGCTGAATTGTGTTCCTCCAAATTTGTATTTGAAGCCTCAACCCCTGGGACCTCAGAATGTGACTGCATTTGGAGTGAGGGCCTTTAAAGATGTGATTAAGTTAAAATGGAGCTGTTAGGGTGGGCCTCAATCTACTGCCATCATGTTATGGTAGCCAGAGCCTTATACTACAGATGTGATATTTAACATGGTAGTTTTCGGCAAACAGGCTCACCGATTTACTTGACAGTTTCAAAGCAGACAGTCTCATCCTTGAGTAAGTGAAAGCTGCTCAGTTGTGTCCGATTCTTTGCAACCCCATGGACTGTACAGTCCATGGAATTCTCTAGGCCAGAACACTGGAATGGGTAGCCTTTCCCTTCTCCAGGGGATCTTCCCAACCCAGGGATCGAACCCAGGTCTCCCGCATTGCAGGCAGATTCTTTACCAGCTGAGCCACAAGGGAAGCCCAAGAATAGTGGAGTGGGTAGCCTATCTTTTCTCTAGCGGATCTTCCTGACCCAGGAATCGAACCAGGGTATCCTGCATTGCAGGTGGATTCTTTACCAGCTGAGCTACCAGGGAAGCCAGAGATTCTCACATGGAACAAATCTGGGCTGTGCATCATGGGACAAACCCCAAATATTTTGATATGCAGACTAAAAGAGAGCAAGGGGGTGGGGGGTATCCTGGGGACCCTTCAGTCTTGCACCAAAGGGCTGCTTCCATCATGGAAGTGCTTCTGTATTCCACCTGTTTTGCTCTAATGGTGTTTTCCACGTCATAACCTTATTTGATGCGCAGTTGGAGAACAGGATAACTGTGAGCCTGTCAAAGCTGTAAAGTGAGTGAAGAAAGTTTATGGAGAGAAGCTCTACATTCTAGCAAATGAGGCTCCCATCCCATTCTGTGATCCATCTCTTTGCACAATACAACAGACCTTCACTGCACTGCATTTTATGAACAAACTGTATTTACTTGCTCTAAAATTATTATTACTTACATAAACTCAATTTCAATGTTCACTTGATAATTCTGTATCTCTGAAAATTTGGGGGTATCTTGGGTTTGCGGTTAAATGGATCATTTTCCTATTAAAATTAATGAAAATTTTTTTCATTGAAAAGCTTTTCCCTTCTACCAGTATCAAATGTTGGCGAGGGTGTGCAGAATAACGGAACTCTTGTACAGCACTGGTGGGAATGTAAATTGGTGCAGCCACAGCTACAGTATGGAAAACACTATGGAAATTTCTCAAAAAATAAAAAACAGAGCTACCATATGACCCAGCAACTCCACTCCTGAGTATATATCTGAAAAAGCCAAAAACACTAATTTGAAAAGATATATGTACCTCAGTGTTCCATAGCAGCATTATTTATAATTGCCAAGACATGGATACAACCTAAGTGTTCACCAACAGAAGCTGTGGTATATACACAATGGAATACTACTCAGCCACAAAAAAGATGTAACATTTGCCATATGCAACAACATGGATGGACATGGAGGGCATTATACTAAAAGGGAAATGACAGAGAAAGAGAAATACTGTATGATATCACTTATATGTAGAATCAAAAAAATACAACAGACTAATGAATATAATTAAAAAGAAGAGGGACTTCCCTGGTGATCCAGTAGTTAGGACTCTGCCTTCGCATTGCAAGGGTCAAAGGTTCAACCTCTCGTGTGATCAAAATAAAAGCAGACCCACAGATACAGAGAACAAACTAGTGGTTACCAGTGGGCAAGGGCCATATAAGGGTCCGGGAGTGGGAGGCACAAACTCTTGAGTGTAAGATAAGTGCAAGGATGTGTTATACAACTTGGGGAATATAATCCAAATTTTGCAATAATTGTAAATAGAAAGTAACTTTTAAATGTTGTATAAAAATAAAAAAAAATTAAAAGAAAAGCTTTCCCTAGGTGGCAGGGTTTTGAGGGGGAGTTAAAATTGTTAAGTGAGGGTTTCCCTGGTGGCTCAGTGGTAAAGAATCTACTTGTCAATGTAGGAGACACAGGTTCAATCCCTGGCCTGGAAAGGTCTCACATGCTGCAGAATACCTAAGCCCCGGAGCCACAACTACTGAGCCTGTGCTCTAGAGCCCGGGAACCGCAACCACTGAAGCCCACGCGTCTGTCTACAGCCTGTGTGCACAAGAGAAGGCCCCAGGGCGAAAAGTCCATGCACCACAGCGAAGAGCAGCTCCTCACTCGCCGCACATAGAGAAAAGCACCCACAGCGATGAAGACTCAGCACAGCCAAAAATAATAAATACAGAAACATTTTTAAAAAGTGCTTCTTAAAAAAATTTTAAAAGTAAAGTTGCCAAGTGAGAGACAAGTGTATAGGTTTCTTTCTGTTTTCACACAAACAGTAACTTATAACACACTGTATATTAGAAACATGTTTTTATTAGAAGTATGTTTTTGGAGGAAAATTTGACAATTTGTTACAAAAGCCTCTAAAACAGGTAAACCTCTAGCCCTTGCAATTTATCCACTTGTGACAATTTGTCAAAAGAAAATAATCAAAGCACAGGGATGTTCATCACAGTTGTGTATAGAACAGAGAAAAATGGACGGTGAAACGACGAACATGGTGAAAAAGTTCACACTGTGGCAAGTGTGTTGTGTGTGCAGCACAGCGCTAGTTTTTATGGCAAGTATTTATATGCATAGAAAAATCTGGAAGGATGCTCAACGAAATGCTAACAGTCATTATCCCTGGGGGACGGGATGAGGACTTTTCTTCTTCATTTGTGTTTTCTAAATGAACATAAACTTATTTTTCTAAACTTTTTATTAATTATGAATCTATATTCACATGCAGTTGTAAGAAAGAAGACAGAGATATATTTTTTTTAATCCTTTTTCCAGCTTCCCTCCATGGTAACATCTTGCAAAACTACAGTTCAAGATCACAACCAGGATTCTGACACTGACTCAGTTAAGATATAGAACATTTCCATCACCACCATCTCCTGTGCTGTGTTGCCCTTTCATAGACACACTTACTTCTCTCCCTCCTTAGCCCCTGGTGACAACTAATCTAGTTTCCATTTCTACCATTTTATCATCTCAAGAATGTTATATACATACAGCATGTGACCCAATGGGATTGGCTTTTTTCACTTAGTATAATTCCCTGGCGATCCATCCAGGTGATCGCATGTATCCACAGTTGTTCCTTTTTCACTGCTGAGTAGTGTTCCATGGTGTGGATATATCAGTGAGTTTAGTCACTTACCCAGTGAAAGACATCTGGGTTGTTCCCAATTATTGGCTATTGTGCAGAAAGCAGCTGAGAAAATCTGTTCACAGATTTCTGTGTGGACATGGTTTTCATCTCTGTTAAATAAATCCTTGTAAGCACCATTGCTGTGTTGAAAGGTAACTGCATATTTAATTTTTAAAGAAGCTATCAAACTGTTTTCCATAGAGGCTGTACCATTTTACATCCCCACTAGCAACGCAGGAGAAGTTTTCAACCATTGTTTCTTTGGGTCATTTTCAGTTACACCCTTTTTTTCTGCTACCTCCCGGATGACATGCCTGTTGGATTTTTTGTTATGGTCTTCTAGGTCTGTGAAGCTCATTTCATTCTTTTCTATTTTCTCACTGTTGCTCAGACTAGATCATTTCTACTGTTTCT